GTCTAGTTTTAATCTTTGGCAAGTTGAAACCCAATTTTTCCAGCACCATTTATTAAAGAGGCTATCTTTCCTCCAGTGAGGGTGTTTGGCTTCTTTGTGAAAGATTGGGTGACTAAGTATGTCTGGAGTTGTTTCTGTGTCTTCTAATCTGTTCCACTGATCCTTGGGTCTGTTTCTTTGCCAGTACTATGCTGTTTTTTTTTTAATCACAGTAGCCTTGTAGTATAGTTTCAAATTGGGGACTGTGATACCTCTACCTTGTCTTTGTTTCCTAGGATTGCTTATGCCATTCTAGGTCTTTTCTGGTTCCAAATGAATTTTTGGATTTTTTTCTCAAGTTCTGTGAAGTATACTGTTGGAATCTCAATTGGAATTGCATTGAATCTATGTGTTAGTTACTTTTCTCTTGTTGCTGAGACAAAATACCTGACACCAAAAGTTGGAAAGAAAGAGGTTTATTTGGCTTACAGTTTGTAGGGGTTTCAGTCCATAATCAGCTGGCTCCAAGGCAGGAATGGTAAACAGGCACTGCAGAGGAGAAACATTTTGCCCACAAGGCAAAGGCAAAGGCAACGAGAGTTAACAGCATCTTTCTGCCCTGTTTATCTTATTCAGACTACCGGGATTAGGGAGTTGACAAACTAAGCATTCACATGTATTGGTTTAGTAACCACATGCCCTTACCTCCAGCATTACACATTCCAGATTAAACTACCTCTGAAAAAGAAAGTCTCATCAGCATGAGGCTTTGGGGGGACATCTAAACACAAACCATAACAATCTATATAGCAATTTTGGAAGTATGGCTATTTTCACTATTCTGGTACTTCCTATCCAGGAGCAAGAGATGTCTTTCCATTTTTTAATATTCTCTTTAATCTCTTTTTTCACAGTGCTACAGTTTTCTTTGATTTCTTTCATTAAGTTGATTTCTAGATATTTCATTTTGGGGGATGCTATTGTGAAAGGAGTTGTTTCTCCAGTTCCTCAGAAGGTTTGTTATTTGTGTACAGGGAAGGCTATTGATTTTTGTGTATTGACCTTGTATCTAGCTACTCTACTGAATTTGGCTATTAACTCTAGAAGACTTTTGGTTGAATTCTTGGGGTCTTCTATATAGAGTATCATGTCATCTGCAAATAATTAAAATTTAACTTCCTCATTTCCCATCTGTAGTCCTTTTATTTCTTTCTCTTGTCTAATTGCTGTGGCTAATGTTTCCAGAACTATACTGAACAGGAGTGATGATAGTGGACATCCTCGTCTTCTTCCTAATTTTAGCGTGAAGGTTTTCAGTTTTTGACCATTAGCATGATGTTGGCTATTGGTTTTTCATAGATGGCTTTTATCAAGTTGAGATGAAGACCTTCTATTTCAATTTTCTGTAGGGTATTTATCATGAATAGGTGTTGGATTTCATCGAATACTTTTTCTGCATCTACTGAGATGATCATATGTTTTTTGTCCTTGGCTCTGTTAATATTACATGTATTGATTTGCATATGTTGAACCATCCCTACATCCCTGGGATGAATCTCACTTGGTCAAGGTGTATGATCTTCTTGATGATCTTCTGCATTCTATTTGCCAGTATCTTATTAAGGATTTTTGTGTCTATGTTCATTATGTACATTGGCCTATAGTTCTCTTTTTCAGTTGGGTCTTTCTCTGCTTTGGGGATCATGATGATGCTTTCTTCCAGGTATGAATTTGTGAGTATTACTTCCCTTTCAATTTCATTGAAGAGTTTAAACAGTAGTGGCAATAGTTCTTCTCTAAACGTCTTGTAGAATTCAGCAGTGAAGCCATCAGGACCTAGGCTTTTCTTTTTTGTTAAGTTTTTGAGTATGTTTTCAATTTAATTGATTGATATTGGGTTGTTTAGAACTTTTAGGTCTTCTTTGTTCAACTTTGGTTACTCAAAAGTATCTAGGAATCTATCCATTTCTTTTGTGTTTTCTATCTTACTGGCATACAGGTTCTCAAAGTAGGTATGAATGATCCTCTGGATTTCTGCTGGGTCTGTTATAATTTCATCCTTTTCATTTCTAATTGCATGGATTTGGGCCTTATTTTTCCTTTTCTTGATAAGGTTGGCTAAGGGTTTTTCAATTTTGTTTATTTTTTTGAAGAACCAACTCTTTGCTTCATTGGTTTTTTGTATTGTTCTCTTAGTCTCCATTGCATTGATTTCTGCTCTGATCTTTATAATTTCCTTCATTTTGTGAGCTTTGTGTTTGTCTTGCTCTTCTTTTTCTAGAAGCTTGAGGTTCAGCATTAGGTTATTTGAGCTTGCTCTGTTTTCCTAATATGGGTATTCATTGGTATGAATTTCCTTCATTAGACTGCTTTCTTTGTGTCCTATAAATTCCCATATGTTGTATTGGCATTGTCATTTAATTGTAGAAACTGTCTGATTTCTTCTTTAATTTCCTCTGTGACCAATTGGTTGTTCAGGAGGGTGTTCTTCAGTTTCCATTTGTTTATGAAGTTCTTGTGGTTTCTTTTGCTACTGATTTCCAATTTCATTGTACAATGATCTGATAATATACAGGGGATAACTTCAATTCATTTGCATTTACTTAAACATGTTCTATGAGCAAGTATGTGGTCTGTTTTGGAGAACAACCTGTGTGCAGCTGAAAAGAATGTGTATTCTGATTTTGTGGGGTGGAACACTCTGTAAATATCTATTGAGTCCATTTGTTCAAGAGTTTGGTTGATTTCTAGTATTTCATTGTTGATTTTTTGTCTAGTTGATCTATATCTGCCAGTGGAGTATTGAGGTCCCCCCTTACTATTGTATTAGTGCTTATTTAATTTTTCATGTCCATTATTATTTGTTTTATATATTTGGGTGCACTA